CAAAACTAAACGAAAGAAAACGAAAAGAAAAGATAAGAAAAGAGAAGAAAAAAGAAAAAAAAAAATACGGAAAAAAAATATAAAAGAACGACGACGAAAAAATAAAGAAGGGGAGTAAAAGAAGGAGAAGAAGAAGAAGAAGAAGAAGAAGAAACAGAAGAAGCAGAAGAAGCAGCAGAAGAAAGAAGAAGAAGAAGAAGAAGAAAGAGGAGGAGGAGGAGGAGGAGGAGGAGGAGGAGGAGGAGGAGGAGATTTTTCGGTGCGTGTATATCCTCAGAGAGAGCTACTCGTACGTACACAATTCACATAAGGAATATATGGTATGGAGTGTTGAAGTTGGTGATGGTAAAACGTTGGTTAGGGTTGAGGAGAAAGGAAAAAGAGAGAGAGAGAGAGAGAGAGAGAGAGAGAGAGGGAGAATGAGGGGACGGGTAGAGGGGTTTGGCAGAGATACTAGTGGTGGGGCAAAAGGAGATGGGGAGGGTTTGGGGGGGGCTGGTGCGCGCCTTTCAGAGGGCGACGTTATACACTCTCATGCCATGCCGCTCACCTATGTGTCTCTTTCTCTATCTCTTTCTCTCTTTCTCTCTCCTTCCTCTTTTTCTTTCTCTTTTTCTCTTTCAAAGAATAAGAGAGAAGGAGAAAGAGAGATAGGTAGGTAGAACAGAGCGGAACCGAATGAAACGGAACACAGAAGCAAACCAGAGAGAGAGAGAGAGAGAGAGAGAGAGAGAGAGAGAGAGAGAGTGCGGCTTGAGTCTCTTTCTCTCAGCACGAGGCGCAGCATGTTTATTGGCGCATCTCGCAGTCTTAAATCTTTATGTTGTCTCCGCGAAGAACTTGGGGGTTCTCCCCTACACCCCCTTCCTGCCTACCTATCTCCCCGCCCGACTTCCCTTTACGCCACCCTCTCATTCTCTCTTACTCACTGGCTGTCTCAGTTGTGTATGTATGTATGTATGTATGTATGTATGTATGTATGTGTCTCTCTCTCTCTCTCTCTCTCTCTCTCTCTCTTCACATGATCGCACATGGTTTTCTTTCGAGGAAGAGAGTCTCTACACGGTAAGCTGTAGAGTTGGCGGGTAGTGCGGTTGTATGGAATGGAAAAGGATGAAGAGACAGAGAGAGAGAGAGAGAGAGAGAGAGAGTGAGATAGAAAGAGAATCCGCAGAAGCTACGTACAAAAGGGGGAGAAGAAGAAGAAGAAGAAGAAGAAGAAGAAGAAGAAGAAGAAGAAGAAGAAGAGGAAGAAGAAGAAGAAGAGGGAGGATTATGGGAGCGAACGAGATAGATGGATAATGGTAGATATCTGTGAGAAAGAAAGAAGGAGAGAGAGAGAGAGAGAGAGAGAGAGAGAGAGAGAAAGAGAAGTTGGGACGACAGGGAGATATATCTCTTGGAGAGAACCGTGGTCTCTCTCGCGAAATCGAGTCACAGAACTCGGACGCGAGCAAGGCGGCGTCCACCGCATTACGCACGCAGAAGCCGCGATTTTAACGTGCCTTTTATCTAGACATCCTTTCCTCTTAAATTCCCCTCACAGTCCCTCACCCAGTCGTATTCTTCCTTGGACTACCGCGTCAGCCCTTCCCCCTTAACCCGCCACCCCACATATACCTTTCTTTTATACCCTCGTCTCTCTGTCTATCGCAGATAGCCCCAAGCTTTGCGCTTGGCTCCAACTGAGAGAGGAAGTAACGTTTATGTGCGAGAGCGGCCTCGACTTTTCTCTCTCTCTCTCTCTCTCTCTCTTTCTCTTTCTTTTACTCTCTTTCGCTCTCTTTCTCTTTCTTTCTCTGTCTGTCCGTCCGTCTGTCTGTCTGTCTGTCTGTCTGTCTGTCTGTCTGTCTGTATGTCTTTGCGTCTATCTATCTTTTTCTTTCACTCAAGTTCTCTCGTATACTTCTCTTTATTTTCATTTTCTTTTTTCTTCGTTTCGTTCCTTTTTTTCTTCTCTGCTTTTTATCTTTTCTGCTTTTCGATTTCGCTAGGTTTCGTTTCGTTTCGTTTTCTTACCTTTTCTTTTTTTTTTTTTCTTTTTTTTTTCTTTTTTTCTTTTTTCCTTTCTCCTTTTTCCATTTCTTTTTTCTTCTTCTTTCTCTATTTCTTTTTATTTTATTTTATTTTTTTTTCTTTTTTTTTCCTTTTTTTTTCTTTTTTTTTTTTTCATTTTCCTCTGTTTATCTGAAAAGAGGAGCCTATCAGCTGATTGTATCGTATCGGATATAATCTTATTTATTCAATTTGTTTATCTTTTCGTTTCCTTTTTTTTTCCCCTTCTTTTTTTTTTTTCTTTGGTAAGTTCTATCCACTCGATTCTTTTGCATTCTCTTGTTTAATTATCGTGGAAAATTTTGTAATAGTTCGTTTTTTCTTTTTTTTTCTTTTTTGATTTCTTCTGATAGGATTGCAATTTGCAATAGTATTGCAATAATAAAATGATGCTGTATAAATAAATAATTATAAGTAATAATATATCAGATCATATAAATTATTATTATTATTATTATTATTATTATTATTATTATTATTATTATTATTATTATTACTATTAGTTCCTTTTTTATTTCTTCGCCGTCTCGTAAGTTGTAACGTAGTTTAATTGTATTAATTAAATAAATAAATACTCATAAATATGAAATAATGTATGAATATATTATTATATCATATATTATTAGTTTTTATTCTGTCGTGTTTATCAGGGAAAATAGTAGTTTTTTCTTTTTCTTTTTTCTTTTTTTTTTTTTTTTTTTTGGAGAGAGACGTGGGAGATAAGAGGAAGGTCTTTTTCATTACAACAGCGTTGTAATAATTAAGTGAATACATACTTGTATATAAGTAATAATTTATAACCATTATATGTGTATGTAATATATATATATATATTATTATTATTAGTATATATTATTAGTTTTTATTATGTTGTTTATCAAATAAAATATAATAGTATTTTTTGTTGGATCGAAGATGTCTTTCGTTGCAACAGTATTGTAATAATTAAGTAAATGGATGATTATATATAAATAACAATATATAATCCTTAAATGTATATATATATATATAATATATAATTATTATTAGTATATATTATTGGTTCTTATTTTATTGTTTAACAAGAAAAATTGTATTTTTATTTATTTTTTTTTTTTTTTAGTGACAGATATACAGGGGGAGGGGAATAGATATCTTTTAATTGAAATATTATTGTAATAATTAATTAAATATATATATTAATATATAATATATGTATTTAATATATATTAATATATCAATATATATATATATATAAATATTTATTTATTTTTTTTTGTAATAGTGACAATTATAATACATTTCGAGACAATTGATAAAAAAGGCGTGGCTCCGTGCAATCTCGTCAAAAAAGAAAAGAAATATGATTGATTAAAAGAAAAAAAAAAAAAAAAGAAAAATTGAATCCCTTTCAGGGCATATATATATATATATATATATTAATCGTGAAAATTAAAAAATTGTTCTTCTTTTCTTTCTAACACTTTTTCTCTCTCTTTTCCTTTTTCTATTTTCTTTTAATTATTTCCTTTATTTCATTCATATCGATCGCATCGATCAATTCTTTTTTTCTTTTTTTTTTTTTTTTTTTTTTATTAACTTTCATCGTACAAGTATACGCATGTAATATATATATACACACACACACACACACACACATACCTGTATGTGTAATACATATATATATATATATATATATATATATATATGAGATAAATGAGAAATGGCGAGTAAACGAGAATGCGCTGTTTAATTAACTAAATGTAGCATGGTCAGATAAACGGCACGTATCGGCAATAAACTTAACGTTGTTAGAG